TCAAGTACTCCCTCAATGCAAGAACACTCTGTTCTATTAAACTGGCATTCCATGATGCTCACCTTCCCGTCATGATCGCTGAAGACAAATGGGTACATAAGCAAATGTGGTGAAGAAAGCTGATGGTACCGAGCTATCAAAATATATAGTGGCTGGAAACAAATGTACAAAACTGCTTGACACAATGGATGTATGTATGTATGGATTGTGATAGAGTTGTACGAGCCCCCAATAAAAGGATTTTTTTTTTTTAAGAAGATCGGGGAGGAGACCAGCCAGTCAGGGTGAGAGGTAGTAACGATGAAACATAACTTTCCTCTAGTTCTTTTTTTTTTTTTTACTTTTTCTAAATGTTTATTTGTAGAAATTAGTAATGTACATGAGCTTCCAGCTGTGCAAAGAGCTGTCATGGCGAGGGAGCTTGTTCTACCGAGATGTAACTGTGGGAGGCAGGGGGCAGGTCCTCCAGAGCTGGCGGACCGTGAGGGGAATGTCATTTTGGGTATCTGCCTGGAGACTTAGCCTATTAAAGTTAAAAATAGTTTATGAAGCGTGTTTTTCGTGGCAGAAGTCCTCTAGTTCTTTAATGCTTCCTCCCTCCCACTATCATGATCCCAATTCTACCTTACAAATCCGGCTAGACCAGAGCATGTACACTGGAACCAGATAGGAACCAGAAACACAGGGAATCCAGGACAGATGAACCCCTCAGGACCAGTGGTGAGAGAGGCACTACTGGGAGGGTGGAGAGAAGGTGGGGTAGAAAGGGGGAACCAATCACAAGGATCTACATATAAGCTGCTCCCTGGGGGATGGACAACAGAAAAGTGAGTGAAGGGAGACGTCAGATAATGTAAGATATGACAAAATAATAATTTATAAATTATCAAGGATTCATGAGAGGGGGGGTAGGGAGGGAGGGGAAAATGAGAAGCTGATACTAAGGGTTCAAATAGAAAGAAAATGGTTTGAGAATGATGATGGCAACAAATGTACAAATGTGCTTGACACAATGGATGGATATATGGATTATGATAAGAATTGAATGGGCCCCAATAAAATTATTTAAAAGAACAAACTTCTCCAAAACTTCAAAAATACAGCAACACAGTAATAATTATACTTAGATGATAGCTAAGGGGTATTGATTCTACTGTGCTAACTATTCTGTATTGTGCTGCACATTTGGAATTGTTCATAATCAAAGAAAGCATTTCTAGGAGAGAAGGGAGGCTCTTCCCTGTCTGCTATTCAGGGAGCCAAGCAAGCAGTGGACGATGTCATGGAGAGTGGGTGTGGTCAGTGGGACGAGAAAATAACAGCCACTCTTCTAAATACAGGGGCCCTGGTAGAAGAGTGGGTTATGCTTTGGGCTGCTAACCTCAAGGTCAGCAGTTCAATTCTACCAGTCACTCCACATGAGAAATATGAGGCGTTCTACTCGAATAAGATTTACAGCCTTGAAAATCCCAAAAGGCAGTTTTACTGTCCTATAGGGTCACTATGAGTTGAAATTGACTCCAAAGTAGGGTCAGCAGTTCAAACCCATCAGCCCCTCCATGTAAAAAAAGTTGAAGCTGTTTGTGCCCATAAGGATTTAGTCTTGGAAACTCTAAGGACCAGTTCTACTTTGCCCTGTAGATGGCTATGAGTCAGAATTGACTTGGACAGTGAGCATTTTGGGGGTAGCATTGTGGGTTATGCACTGGGCTGCTAACCTCCAGGTCAGCAGTTTGAATCTACCAGTCACTCTGAAGGAGAAAGATGGGGTGTATCCCATTAACGATTTAGCTTATAGAGTCTTGGGACCCCACAAGGGCAGTTCTAGTCTGTCCTATAGGGTCTCAATGAGTCCAAATGGACATAATGGCAGTGAGTTTGAGGATCTTTGGGGCGAGGGGTAAAGGTAGCTGTGTGTTTGGTTTTTGGTTTAAGTGGCATTTATAACATATTGAGTCCTGTAAGGCCTCCTGGAGAGGAACAGGGAAAGTTTTAGGAAGCATGAGCAAGACACCGACTAGCAATGACAGTCCCCGCAGAAGGAATGTGGAGCTGGGAAACACAAAACATGTGTTGGGGCCATAGAATTCTCTGCAGCTGGGACACAGGTATTCTGTGGGTAGGAGAGGGGAAGATGAGGTTACAAAGACCAACATGTTCCACAAGGAGTTTGTACTTCATCCTGAAAAGAAATAATGCCATTGAAAACCCTAATCTGGGTCCACTGGCCAATTGATTGACACTTTGGAATGATGCGTGATTTAGGGCTCGCTACCACTCTCAGGGAAGGGCTGGCTGCCCCTAGGCAAGGGTCTTCACTTGTACCCCTAAGTAGTACGCTGACGACTGGATTCTTTCTTCCAACCTTGGTGCTATCCTGCCCAGGGTGGGCAACCACCCCCCACTCCCACCCCTCCCCAACTCTCAAGGTGATCCAACTTCAATAGCACTCGAACCGCAGGAGCCTGAGCACCTGCTGTCACCGTGAGCATTCTTCCGGCGGCTGACCGATCAGGGCTTTGGGACTGCGCTCTGCCCCTACCAATGTACAAGCACCACGGTGCCTGCCTCAGTCTCCTTCTCTGGAGGAGAGGCAAGCCCGGCTCCCAGCCCACGGGCGTCTTTGCGCTCGGCAAGTGCCGGGATCCCGGCAGCCGTGGGGCGGCCGCAAGCGCCTGGAGTGACCAGGGCGCGTGCCGCCGGCGGCGCCCGGAGCCTCGAGCCGGAGAGCGAGCGGGCTGAGGCGGGCGTGGACGGGCGGGGCGGCTCACCGGTAGAAGGCAGAGTCCCCAAGCGGGTTCCAGTTGGCCGTGTAGCAGTCCATGGCTGCTGCGGGAGCTAGCGGGGCAGCGACAGGCAGGCGCCGGCGTAACCCGAGCACGAGCCGCCGCGCCCGCTTCCGCTTCCGCCCGGCCTACTCACGTGACCAGGTCGCCGCCACCGCCATCACTAGTACGGGCAATGGTTCTTGGTCGCCGCCGCGCGCCCTTCCGCACGCTAGGATGGGCCTGGCCCTGGCTGCCCCCCGCGGCGGCTCCATCCCTGTCATCTCTGCGCCCCGTTGTGCTCTGGGGGGGACGCGCAGAGCGGGGCACGGGTGGCCGGAAGTAGGACCTGTGAGCCCGCGGCTGCGCAGTCCGAGGCCCGAAGCGCCGTCGGGGCAGCCGCGACGACGGGCTACGCCCCGACGGCTAATGGGGACGCACGGGCCCAGCGGGGAGAGGGGTTTTGCGACACGGAGCCGTGATGCTTAGCCGGGAACTTGTCGCGGGCGAGGTACAAGGCGGACAGCCCGGCCCTGGTCCCCGATATGGGCGTGGCGCCCCAGGACGCGGTAATGGGCGCCTTCAAACCCGCGCATGCGCGAGCTGGCGGCGGGCACGTGGCCGGGCTCAGGGCGGTGCCCTGCGGACAGCGCCCCCTCGGCATCAGGAGGCACCCCCTGGGCGATATATTCCCCATTCCCATGCCAGCGCCATCTGGGGCCCCACCTTGCTGCCACCACCTCCTTCCTGTAGCTCTGGGACTACCCTGTCCTGAGCTCCAATCCTCACACAGTGTAGTGACCCCCCCCCCCCCACCCCGCTCGTCCTTGTCGTGGCAGCGGTATGGTCTTCGGTCTGGAGCCTCGCTGCCCACTGCCAAGCGCCGTGGTCCACCTACAGGCCTCGCAAGTCCAACAGCTGCTCCACAACAAGTTCATGGTCATTTTGGGCGAATCCGGCGAGTGACCCTTTAATGCCATCCTTTATAGTCCTGCATCTGCCGCTTATTCACTTCGGTATCTGGACCTTTTCATTTCCATCTCGGAGTTTCTTCCACCTGCTACGCTGCCCTGCTCTAATGGGCTTTGTATTCTTTTGCTGGACCATAGCTATCCCAATAGATCGCTTGTGTATGCTCTACCCCATTCTCGCTCAGCATTTTTCTCCCAAACTGGCAGTACCCCATAAATCCCCTGGAGGGAGCTGCTAATCGTGTGGTCTGTCTACCTGGTGGTTTGGCTTGCTAATTCGAAAGTGAGGCCAGAGTTGGACGGAACAGCGTCAGTGCTGGACTTTTCTAGTCGCCTACCTCTGTCAACACTGCACAGGAGTTGGGGTTAGGGAGCCCTGTCTTGGAAGGATGGGAGGTGTGGACTTGGAGGAACTGCCGTAGGGAGGGGTCTGCCCGGGCTGGTGGTCTCTGTCTCCCTACAGTCCAGCGGGCTGTCTGTAAGGACTTGGTGCCCCTGCTCCAGAAAGACTCACTGATCACAGCAGCCCAGCTGAAAGCCAAAGTGAGGGAAGACCGGTGGCCAAGTCGGCAGTGGGCGGGCAAAGACCCCTGCCTGGAAGGGTCTTCTTTCCTGGAAGGACTCTGAGCAGCTTGGGGGGTGGGGTGTAAGGGACACGCGGAGCTGAGCTTTGAACAGGACCAACTGGTGGCTGGGGGCCAGATGGGCGAGCTGTACAATGGAACATGGTACTGCAAAGTCCGCCAGTTCTGCTCGGGCAACAGCCACCACCTTGTTCGCTTCCATTTCCTCACCTGGGTTTACCCCAAGTACCTGGAGGACGTCCTGGAGGAACTGACATGTGGACCCACCCCACACCTGGTGATTATCAACTCCTGCCTCTGGGACCTCTCCAGCTTGGGGGTGGGAGAGGAGGGTGGAGGCTCTGGAAGGTGGGAAGGTGGAGGTCTGGCTCCCAAGACTACCCACCCTTGGGGTTCTCCCCACCTTGCGCGTTTGCCCAAAAGATACTGCCGCTACCAGGAGAACCTGAAGCGGGTGTTCCTGCATCTGGACCGGATGTTGCCAGACTCCTACCTGCTGGTGTGGAACATGGTGATGCCTCTGGGGGAAGAGCATCACAAGGGACTTCCTGTTGCCGGAGGCAGGTGACCAGAGCCTGGGGAGGGGGGTAACTGGCTGCCGGGTTGGGGACCCTCCCTCCCCACCCTGCTTGCTTCTGCTCTTAGCTACCACACTTCCTTACTCAGCTCCAGCCCCTGGCGGGCTCTCTGCAACTAGATGTAGTTGAAGGGAACTTCTATAGTGCCATGCTGGCCAGCGACCACTGCTTTGATGTCCTGGACCTCCACTTTCATTTCCGGCACGCAGCTCCTCCACTGGGACCAACATACTCACCGTCACCTCTTTCACCTTCTATCTCACGTGTCTGATGCCTGGGGTATGGAGCTGCCAAAGCAGAACTGCCCCCTGGTGAGCCCTGCCACAAAGCAGGAGGCGAGTCCTGTGAAGAGAGCCTTAAGAGTGCAGTGCCCAAAGCCAGAGGTCTACAGTTACCTTTACAAAGAGCGGAGGTCCCCCTCTAAGGACCATTGGTGGCCCTTGACTACTCTTTCAGAAACTCCTTTAAGATCTTATGATCTAGCCTTCTAGTCCCCCACCATGTACATGAATGAACGTCTCCAAAGAGCTCTTCCTTGGTCGGGGCCGGGGAGGGAGGAGAGGGGCGAGGCACAAACAGGAAAGCAAAGGGAGTTCTGGGCAGGCACAGGTCTTACGACAATTGGAGGCAAGTAATCTCAGTGGGCTGTGGCAGCAGTCAGGAAGCCCCCTGGCTGTGCAAGAAAGGAGGCTGTACCTCGGTAGGGAACGAGGGAAGGCAGCTGGCTGCAAGGCTGTTGAGCAGAGTGGCACCATGACTTGTGCTCTGGTGCATTGGGCCTAGCTTGGTTAGCCCAGGTCCCTGGGAGTTCCTGGGGAAACACCAAGGGGGGGACAGCAGTGGCTCTCAGGGCACCGAATCTGAAGGCTCTGGCACGACCAGGGAGCGGAGAGCAGAACATGGTCACAGGAGTTAGAGGGGAAGAGGGGGATACACGAGAAGCAGGAGGGCACGTACAACATGCAGAGGCCATGGGCCATGGGCCATGTCCCAAGTGCATTGGGAAGGAACCCTGGTCAACCATTTGGCACGTGGCTATCCATAGCAAGACATGTCAAGGAAGTAGAAAAAGGCTAAAACAGCGGGTTGCAACCCCTTTGGGGGGTCGAGCAACCCTTTCACAGGGGTTGGCCGATTCATAACAGTAGCAAAATTACAGTTATGAAGTAGCAACGAAAATAATTTTATGGTTGGGGGGGTCACCACAACATGAGGAACTGTATTAAAGGGCCACGGCCTTAGGAAGATTGGGAACCACTGGACTAAAAGAAGATGCAGAAGAATCCAGGCAAAATACACTGTGTGGACATTTGGAAGGCAAAGGGGGCACTGACTTGTAGGAGTGGGAGAGGTCAGGGCCTTCTTCTTTTGAAGAGAGAAGGCAACTGACCCATGAGATGGATGGAGCTGGCCAAGGAATAGTGTTAAAGAGACAGGTGCTGGGAAGATGGAACAGGTTTTGGAAAGAGCCAGAGGTCAGAATGAAGGTAGATCTGAGACTTAGCAGAGAGGCAGGAGGGGGCTTGGCCTGAAATGAAAGGAACACGGATAAAAGGTGGCCCCAATCTCAGGGAGATTTGGAACTGGAGTGATGGGGACCCCTGGCTTCCCCAGCCTGCTTGAAATAACTATCCTGTTCCCAGCCCCATGGACTGAGGACTGGCCACAGGCGGACCATCCATTCCAGAGATTCCGTAGGCAGCATCCAGACTTCAGGGAGCAGCTGGCCTTGCACCCAATGGTGCCCTCTCCCGTACCCACTCCCATATCCTTTCCCTGTCCCCTTCCTCAGCCTTTGCCACCCTTCTTGTTCCCACCACCGCCCTAGGATCCCCCATGTTCCCCAGGCCAACCCTTCCCACCCCATGAATTCTTCCTGTGTTGTAATTCTGTGGAGGACTTTTTGATGCCACCTCACCTAGATAGGTGCTCCCAGCCTCTCGCAGCATCCCCTTCACCCTCTCCCCAGCCAGTGAGCAGGGAGGCTCAGTGATGTGCTGTCCCAGTGCCCCCAGGCTTGGGCTTAACAACGGTCTTCTCCGGTCTGGAATGGCTTCTGCAGCCTTGTTAATCTGTTCACTGCTGCTCAGACGGTGTCTTGGTCTGGAGTTGGGGATGTGGGCACCTCAGTGCACAGATGGGGACACTTTAGCCTGAGGGAACTGCCCAAAAGTCCCCTCTGATAACAGCTGGTGCTTTTGTAGGATGTGGCCCTGGAGTGAACTTTGTGCCCGGCCCTAGCCCCATGGTCAGCACTGGGGCCCAGCGGTCCACCGGGGCATGCCCTGCTGTTTTCCCAGCGGCCCCTATTCTGTGCCAAGAATGGAGGGACCCTGCAGGCAGCGGCCCAGACACTCAGACAGACTGATCTACACATTCAAGCTGGACAGACGGCTTCCTGCTCATTCAGGGACATGCCCTGGATAGACTGGAGTCTGGGCAGGATTTGCCAATGGCTCTGCAGGGCCAGCCTTCCGCCGCAGGTCCTGGGCCTCAGCGTCTGCTGTGCCCAGCGCTGTACTAGTCCAAGGCTGTCACCAATAAAGACATGGAAGAACAGAGTGGCATCTTCCTGAGTGAAGGAATGAGTCTCCCAAACCCCAGTCTTAAGAGTTGGAAGGTTTCTTTGGTCTCTCCGCACCCCTGGACCTTTGACCCCTCGCGGTGTAGAAACCACTGGGGGCATCTTCAATGCTGCTTCCCACACCCGTTTCCACACTCACCACAACATTCGGTGTCTGCCAAAAACAGAGCTCTGCTGTTCACCGCTCTTTGAGGTTTGGAAAAATCAAGAACTGAGTTAAAATGGTCAGTGTTTCATTGTGGGAAACTATCACCGAGGGAAATATGACTAGGACTATATTCCCTAATTTATAACAGAGGGAATCTGGAACATTACCACTTGGTAAGTTAGAGATAAAGTCCAAGTATATTATCCTGCTTTAAATATCATTCCCACAGATTCTTCCCTAACAGCTATGCTGCCTTCAAGTGAGCACATGGTTGATGTTATTTCCCTATAGAAGCAGACATCAGCTGCTGTCTCCTCCCACTGTGTCGCCCAGCCCCTCATACCTTCCCCCAATGCAGGTATTAAGTTTCCTCATCTGTGAGCTCAGGGACGTTACTGTAGTTATCACCCATCTTGTGGCATATGTAACTACTAAATATGCATGGCTTACAGCTACCTATAAATATCCCAAGTTAGTAAAGACCCTCTCCCTTCTCCCACCTCCACCACCAAGAGGAGCTGAGGTGAGCAGGCTACCATAAAATGTGTCTGACTCCTTTATTTTATTCTCTCTCCTATCTCTCCTATTCTCTATGCCTTTACTATGATCTTTATATCTTATAACCGTACAATTGCACCTACTGACCCTTCAGTTGTTAGAGGCTGGCATCCTCTGACATTTCACATGGAATTTGGGGTCTGGCTAGTTCTTAACCTCCATCTTCCAATCTCATGCATTCTTTTCTACAGTCAGTGTCCACGTGCACCTGGACATACCGTGGCCTGCACAATCTGAGCACATTTATTGTTTAGGTGCCATGGTTCTAAGTCAGCAGCCCCACGCACAATATAATGAAACACTGCCCAGTCCTGCACCATCCTCACAATTGTTGTGTTTGACACATTACTCACTCACTGCCGTTGAGTGAGTGTCGGCTCATAGCAACCCTGAAGGACAGGGTGGCAGTAGGCTTCATAACCAGTTGGAACTAAACAAGCTCTCGAGCCCACATGGAAGACTAGTCCGATAATCCGTTATTTGATAGGTAGAATGTGCAAAGGGAGCAAAGTAAATTCCAGATTTGCAGAGGAGGCAGTGGGGGAGCTGAAGGAGAAGGGTAGGGGGTGGTAAGAGGTTTTGGATTTGTCAAGTGGGCCTGACCATAGGTTTAAGACCCTAGGGTCTCAAGAGCATCAACAGTGGAAGGTGGGGTGGGAGCGGCAGGAAAATAAGGTCACACAGAGGCCCATTACATCATTTTAAAGAGGAAGAGAGGGTTGGAGCTTTTTGCATTGACTCTTCACACTTGTCATTGAGAATTTTGACCAAGACAATCTTACAGTGAAGGTAGCAGGAATAAGCTGGGCAAGTGGTGATCCTTGTTAGCAATCTACAAACTGCCAATGAAAGGAGCCTGTTAGATTGACGTCCCTGGACACCGGGAAGGAGTCCTGGTGACAGTGGGAAGTGCTAGCCTCCTACCTAAAGCACAACCTCTGAGCTCAGCAGCTGCTCAGCAGGGAGACGGTATGGCTGTCTTGCTTCCATAAAAATCACAGCCTTGGTGAGCCAATAGAGCAGTTCTACTTTGTCGTATAGGGTTACAGTGAATCAAAATGGACAGCAACGGGTTGGGTGCTTTGGTTTTGGTGCAGAGGAAATGGGTACAGACAGCTGAAGTTGGCAGCGCAACCTGGCCAGGGTGATTGAAAATCGGGTACCACTATGTACAGAGGCGCCAGCACAATGCCAGATAAGCCTGGCTCAGGTGTAGACAAAGCATAGAAGGGAATAGACAAAAATGAAAGAGCTTTTGTTAGTGAGCTAGGGTTTCAGATAGTCTTGTATTTTTGCAAAATCTTTGTTTCTTTGTTTTCTTACAGTGAACAAAAACCTATCCTTAGCTGCATCCACTTTGGCCCATTCCCTTCAGCTTTTCTTTCTCAGAACCCTTTTCTCTGACTGGGTGCTTCTGCCTCTCTGACTTGCAGGCTTCTCCGTGTGGCTGAAACAAATTGCACACCTGATCTGGTTTGCAGGAAAAGTAATACCAGCTACTCAGCCTCAGTGGGTTCCCTTCTGTTGCTTGCCATTCTGCAAGAATTCCTTCCACCTTCCCCCACCCAGCCTTTCCCAGCTTTTCCTTTGCCCTCAAACCCTGCTCTACGTCCAGAACTTAGACCCTGCCACCTGCTGACCCCCAAGATCGCCATTCTTTCACTTCTGCATTTCTGAATTCTTCGCCCACTGTGGTTGAGGACTCTCATCGTCCACAGTGAGGTTTTGTAACTATATTGTAGCACTCCGCCCTCTCCTCTTTCTAACACTTTCCTACATCCCTTTAAAATGGTCCAAGAGGTTTCCCTTCATAATTGTGAAAGCTAACATAACAGAACGAAGGTCGAATCTATTTGCTAGCATATAAGCTTACGGCACCGCACACTGAAACCTGAGGCTCAGCAACTCCTCCCTTCCTGATTGCACTCAGAACCAGGGGACCAGGAGCCGTGCACATCTCCAGAGTACTTTGTGAAAGGGTCTCCTGGCCTTTGCTTTCCCTTGGCGGCGTGTACTTGCCAACTAACCCTACAGAACTTTGCAAACTAATTAGCCCTCAATTAGCCCCGATTCCTATTTGACGACCGAGAAAAATCATTTACTAAGATAGCCTTGCATAGACTTCCTCTCGTGAAAGGACAGTTCTTGAGGAGTAGCCCCAGTAATTTTCCTTTGTCACAGCAAGCTAGTCCTGAAAGGCATAACTTTTCTGATGGCTTCAGTTCTGATGGCCAGCCTTAATTTGCCAGGGGTGGGGTTGGGGGGGATATGTCTTTAAAGGAAGAAAATTAGAGGAGTCACTCCCCCACTTCCCTCCTAAAATTGTTATCTAACTGGAAATTTCCTCACTAAAGTAGATAACCTGTCTTCTGTTAGCTTATTCTCCCCAGTTCCTCTCTCCACACACTTTCTGTTTACCGTTGTCCACAAGTAGCCCTCCTTTTGTGCATCAACGTGTGTCTGGACTGGCTACCCCGTCCCCTTGATCTGTTTGTCCTGCCTCAGGCCCATCTTTCTTCTGTGCTTCTCCGATCGCGTTGACATGAAGTAGAATTAGCCCTTCAGTTTGTTGTTGTTGGTGTTTAATTACAGCTGCTTTGGCTATTCTACAGCCCTGACATTTTCATGTCAGTTTTAGTCACAGTTTGATAATTCTACCAAAATGCTTGCTGGGGTTTTATTGTGATTTTTTTTTAACTATATAGACCAATTTGAGGGGTTTTGACAGACAAGATTGAGTCTTCCAACTCTGGAGCAAAGTGTATTTCTCCATTTATTTAACTACTTCAGGAATATTTTCAAGGATGCTGTCATATCTTCTGTCAGATATAGCCTTGTCTCATATGTTTTTGTTAATGTAAAACATTTTTATTTCTATTTATGTAGCACCTGGTGGTGCTGTGGGCTAGGCATCAGGGTGCTTGTTAACCACAAGTTCGGTGGCCCAAGCCCACCAGGTGCTGCGTGGGAGAAAGATGTGGCTGACTGCGCCCATAAAATGTGTAGTCTCAGAAGTCTATATAGAGTCACGATGAATCAGAATTGACCCAAGTGGAAGTGGGTTTGATTTAAAATGAAATAACCAAACCCGCTGCCAATGAACTGATTCCGACTCATAGCAACCCTATAGGACAGAGTAGAACTGCCCCACAGGGATTCCAAAGCCCTGCACCTTAATGGAAGCCAACTGCTTCGTCTTTCTCCCTTCCAGTGACTGGTGGCTTCAAACCACCAACCTTTGGGTTAGGAGGCAATTACTTACCCCACCACACCACCAGGGCTCAAGAAATGCAATTGGCAGATTTTTATATATTGACCTTGTATCCTGTACCTTGCTAAAGTCCCTTATTAGGGTTAGTAGGTTCCTCATAGAGCTCGTTGGATCTCAAGTTGCCTGTGGATAAATAGTTTTGCTTCTTGCATTCCAATCGCCAAGCCCTTTGTTTTTATTTCTTGCCTTCTTACATTGGCTAGAACCTCCAACACAGTGTCGAAGAGAAATGGTCAGAGTGGAAACTGTTACTGATTTTAGCAAGTACTCTGTTTTTTCATCATTGAATGTTAGTTGTAGGTTTATCACAAATGCCCACTATCAAGTTGAGGAATTTTATTTCTATTCCTATTTTGTTGAGTTTTTTTTTAATAAGCAATGGATATTGGAATTGTCAAAAACCTTTTCTGCATCTATCACATTGATCATGTAGTTTTCAATTTTTTATCGTATGATAAATTACCTGAATTAAAAAAATTTTTTTTCTTTCCCTTCTGTCTCTTTCCTGTTCTCGCACACTCCCTACCTGAATTTTTTAAAATATGAAACCAACTTTGTGTTCCAGGTTTTCGAAAGGAAAGAGGTTGTGCGATTTGAAGGTGTTATAGAAAAAAATATTTCCTTCTTTCACAAACCAGCTAAGCAAAGTGAGAAACAGAAAAGCAAGCCCCTTATCGGATAAACCTGGCGAGAGCAGCAACCCTAAATAGAAGTTAGATGGCATACTTACTTCGGAAATTATTGGTCAACATCTACTAAAGTTGGGTGTTTATAACCCATCCTCTGTTGCCCTTGACTGTTTGGACTCATTGTGACCCTCTAAGACAGAAGAACTGTCCCGGGGGGGTCTTTGAGGCTGTAATCTT